TATATACTTTTTTAGTAGTCTATATCAGTCCATATACAGTCCTAAAATTCATGGGGAAAACGTGAGAATAGCCTGTTCCACTTGACCTTCTATTTTTTCCCAAATTTTTATTTGTTTCTATATTTTTTATTTTTAACAAATTTGTTTTTTATTTGAGGGGAGATCGTTGGACCTTCTGCAGGCTAAAATATGGATTTGGGCTGACATTCGGCCAGACGGGCCTTGAAGCCTGCCACTGGGCTAGCTGTATGGAGCCCCACTCAAAAACGCGAACCAGGTCCTCCTACCTCCGGCTGTCAAGCGGAGTTCTAGTAAAATGAAAGACTATCGTTGTCTCAAAAAAAAAAGACTGTCGAGCGGAGCGCCGCCGCGCTGCCGCACCTTCTCCCGTCCCCGCCGACCCTAGGACTCCCACGCCGCTGGCGCAGCGCACGACCCGACCATTGGATATCGTGCTGGACTCGCCCAGTCGTCATCAGCAGGCACAGCGGCTCTTGAATTCAGCAGCCACGGCCACACACAACAGACGCCGGTAGGCGGCACACTTCATGCCTCCGTGCGATGGCGCAGGTGAGTAGCACCGACCGTAGCATCACTACATCAACATTCGGCATTTAGCAGGCATCAGCATGATTTGTTCTCCAATTTCGGATTTTATGGGATGTCTCTGAGGGGATTCAATTTCTGATTTTTTTTTCCAATTAAAGAACGAAGAATAAGATTGATGGTTGTGATCCTTTTTTTGATAGAGAAGTGTGAAAATTGCTGATTTGTAGGTTCCAAAAATAAAGAATAAGCGTGGTGATTGAAACATTTGTGCCCCCATTTGTTGCTTACAAAAAAAATCATATAGTTAAATTGTAATTGTTTCTATGTCCTTTCAATGTAACTAAATATATTGGATGTTGCCAATACTAAGAACAATTTTTAGGTTCGTTGTCATTATTGTGAATTTTCATATCTTGTATTTGTAGCTTCTGCAGGTGTAATTTCAAGGTATCACCATGGCGAGATCCTCTTTGCTGATAACCAGGAACGTGAGAATTGGTTCGATGCTGAAAACTCTGAAGTGAGCACTGTGAAGTATGATATGCACTTGACGCTGGATCATTGCACTACCCCATTGAGTTCAAATATGATTCTGCTAACTCTGATGTAGCGCCAGCATGTAGAAGCTACAACATCTACGCTGATGTTCGTAACCTTCGTTCCTGGTTTATCACCTGTGTAAGTTCCTGAAAATTGGTAGGCAACGCGCTGGTTCTGTTCATGTTCTTGCTGCCCAGGCACATCAGATTAGAATTAGTAATCTATCTATGGATGGGGCATGTCCCTCCATTGTTGAGTTGGTTTGTAATGACTCTGTAATTGATTTCGTATGACTAAAGCAAAATGGTCTGTGCTCCCTTCTGTTGACCGGATGATTCTATTGTATGTTAAAACTGAAAAATGTCAGTATATTGCATATACATGTGAAGCCCAATGGCTCGGTATAATAAAGAATGATATTTGCTCACTTATGTTGCTGGATTTTTGCTATATGCAATAACTGAAAAAGGAATGGTACATCTATAAGACTTGAGTATTGTATATGCTAGAATAATACCACTGCAAATATATCTTTTGGTACATAATAACTCTCACAGGGACAAGCTAATGACTGAAACCCTATATAACATTACATTTCCTGGGTAGTACTATTTACAGGAATACAACCATATTAGAAACATCACACGGCAATACACAGCATGTACATGAATTATACCAAAACATCCCTGTAGACAATATTTTTTGTGCTTTTCCCTGATGGGTCAATATCCTTATTTGGTTTTGCAAGTACTATAGTTGTTTGTCTTGATATCCCTCTAGACAGAGCGACATAGAGTTGGCCATGAGAGAACACCAGCTCAGGAAGATAGATGCCAACATTTGGGATGGTTTGACCCTGGGCTTTGTTGATTGTCGTGGCAAAACTAAGCCGAATTGGAAATTGCTTTCTTTTAAACTTGAAGGGGAGAACATCATCCTCTGAAGGATAAAGAGGAATTCGTGGAAGGAACACTCGCTTCCCAGCATATTGTCCGCCAATAATTTCTGCATCAATAGTGTTCTCTTGAAATGCCTTAATGATAAGCCTTGTACCATTGCATAAACTATTAGAAGGATCAAGGTTGCGAATCAAAATAACAGGGCAGTTGATCTTCAATCTGAGAATATGTGGAGGAAGGCCATTAGGTGTGAGTGAATTTAGGAACTCAGGTTGATAGTGATTATGTGGATCATCAACCACTGAGTCAAAACTGTAATAGACCTTTTCTTCTCCAGGAAATCGGTCAATAAGCATATCATTTAACTCATCCACATATTCATTCTTTGTGGAAAGAATTGCACGTGCACTAATATAGGACGGTGAGTTTCCATTTTTGTCCATTAGAGGAAAGATGTCATCAATTAACTTACTAACAGAGGCTTTCAAATCCGTGTAACCTATAACAATTTCTTCAGGCAGGCGCACATATTCTTGACCAATCGATTCCTCTGTACCGTTACCAATTCTAAGGAGAAAATCAAAGAACCATGGATCAAACAAAGCCCTCATATTGCGCCAAAGTTTGATATGTTTTATGTCTTGCCAAAGATAAGACTTCTTTAGTGTAGCATCTGTAATTTGTGCTCTAGTGCCATGCCTCACCACTGGAAGAACCTGTCTAAAATCACCTCCAAACACTACTACTTTTCCTCCAAAGGGTGATCCACAACCGGTGATATCTCGCAGGGATCTATCAAGTGCCTCCACAGCTTGACACTTTGTCATAGCAACTTTGTCCCAAATTATTAAAGATGACCTCTTGAGTAATTCTGCAGTTCCACTCTGTTTACTGAAGTTGCACATGCTGTCATCCTGAATATTAATGGGAATTTTGAACCTGGAATGTGCTGTTCTACCGCCAGGCATGATAGACGCAGCAATGCCTGACGTTGCTGTTGCGATACCTATTCGCCCCATCGACCGCACTTTAGCGAGCAAAGCCTTATAAAGGTACGTTTTTTCTGTACCTCCCGGACCATCTATGAAAAAAAACCATACTCTTCTGGTGCAAGACATGAGTCATTATCTCATCAAAAGCAAGTCGCTGCTCATTGTTTAGCTTGTTATACAAATCCAAGTGTTCCTGCTCAACCTCAATAAACATCTCATCATATAATTCTCTCCAATCTAAGCTTTCCAAATCATTATCATCCAATAAGCAGGGCAAGTCAAAGTTCTTTATGTCCTTTCCCATTGAATATAACAAACTTCTAAGATCTTTAAGCACCATCTGATCAATTACTTCAGCATTTACATTTTCTCTTCGAAAATCATCACCCATGGCTTCAAAATGCTTGTCCCACAGTTCACGGACATTTGTTACCTCGCAGAAAACTAAAATTGTTGCAAAAAGTCTTCTAAGTGCAGATGGCATTTGAAATGCCGCAGCCTCGCTGAGACAATCAGAAATACTACGTTCATCCTCAATGAGACCCCTTCTCTGTGTAGCCTCTCTAAATGTCGAGAAAATAACACAATCAACAGTTCGTAGATCCTCAAATGATTTGGCTCCCCTCACGTGATTTAGTAGTATCCTCAAATAATAACGCTCTCCTTCAGCAGGGTGCGCAGACACAAGTCTACCAATCTGAATTCGTTTCTGCTTGCAACGTCTCCAATTCTTGCAACTGCTATCCCACACAAAATATTCTGGAAACTCCTTGTACAAGAAATTCCTTGCAAAAATATCAACAGAACTCATTCTAAAATATTCACTAAGCATTGTTTTTGAAGATGATTCTCTGCGTAACACGCTATCCAAATTATCAGAATCTTCATAATGCACAAGATGCATATTTGGCAAATGGACCTGTAACTGCAAAACTAGAGGTGACATCTCACTTAGATTGAAAGAATAAATCCTCCATATAGCCTCTGGAGGTGATATAAACCTTGCATCCCTATATTCGTGAATCTCATCAATAACAACATTATCTCCTCTGGACTCAATGACAAAGGATGCGCGATCATGACCTTTGTAGATGTATTTAAATAAATATTTAACGGCCTTAATGCTAGAGCAAACTTCTACATTTATATGGCAATTATATCGCATAAGTAGATATGGACTATAAGGAACAACCCATCTATTATCCAAGACCGCACCCCTAATGCGAACTCGACAACCATCATCCCTCCGTCTATAAATTGGATATGAGTCCTTTCCTTGTAGTGTTTTCTCTGAGAATGTCCGTGGATAATGATATCTACAACTTCCATTTTCCATGCAAGTATTCTTACTGTTGAGAACTCCGCATGGTCCATGCATCATGTGCTTAATAACTAAAGCATGCAGTACATGGTATTTGTCTTTATCTGGGATCTCTGCTGATATTATCTCATCATATTGATCTGGATTAGTAATCTTGCAAGTTGACTTCAAAATAATTAAGAAGTGTGCATGCGGTAGGCCTCTCTTCTAAAATTCTATTACATGAACATGTGCAACAACTTCACCAAATAATTTCCTCTTGAATAAAAGATCTTTAAGATCCTCCAACTTTGCCTTGAAGACCCATGCTACCAAATCTGGACGATCTTGTGGCGATTGACCTGGTTCCAGCTCTCTAGTTATTTCTTCCCATTGCGGGTTGCAAGTCATTGTAATGAATAAGTCTGGCTTTCCAAACCTTTGGACCAATGCCATTGCATCTAGATACCTTCGACGCATGTCTCTTGGTCCTCCAATAAATTTCGAGGGGAGCACAATACGCTTTCCAGTCATGCATGCACGTGTCTCACCGGCTACAACACTATCAACCAATCCTTGATATAAATCTGCACGTATGAGAACCTGAGTTGACGGTTGTAAATAGAAAGCCAACCTTATTGATTCAATCTTGATGTACATATCAACAATATACTGTTGAGTTAATCTCTTTCCAAATAGTAAGACGTTGAACTCGCCATCTCAGATTTGTAACTTATAACAATAATATTCCCTTGGTGATACACAAGAACCAGAGCTCTTTTCCACTCCTGCATTCAAGGCAAGTTATGGTTAGATAAATGAATCTGAAACAAAGTAATCAAGCAAAAAAAAAACTTGCCTTCTTCACTGAGAGCATTTGCTTGATCATTTCTCTTCCTCTTACCATGGGGAGCAACTTTTGGTAAATTCAGGTTCCATCCAACTTCCCCATTCGGGAAAAAAAGTGGATACGACAATGGATCATAGCAACCATGGTATGCTTTTATGTATTGTGGTTTATCCGATTTACCGTAAACCATGATACTCCTGTCAAAATAACTTCGAGGATTATTTCCCTCGACCCAAATTGCTGCTACTTGTGATGTTGTCGGAGCATTATATACTCTTTGATCTAAGGCAATATTTGTGTTAAGCTCAATATTATATTCATCAAGGTTTGGAATAGAACCAAGGTTTCTAAATATTTGTGCATAAGGATTACTTGAAAGTATATTCACCAACTTCCGGATCAGAGTTTGGTCAAGGTTTGGCGAGTGAAGAAATCTTTGTTGCAAATCTGCATCCGTGTCATAGAAGTATAACTGTAAATGCTTGGGGCCATCTTCTTTTGGAACCAACTGGTCAATACGGTGATAAATTTGGCCCTGTGCGCAAAAGGTGTATACTCCAAACCTCCTATTGCAGAATCTTCGGTCCAGGATCACACCAAGAGAGGTAAAAGAGAAATGAGAATTGAAGCACCGTATATGATCTTGGAAGTATTTTGCATTTGGATCCTGGCTCATGTACAACTGACGCAATTCATCAGGAACCACTGGGGTTACTATCTTTACTTTTCCATTCATGCAACAAAATGTTGGCGTCTCATATTGGAACCTTTTCGCATTGCAATGTCTACAGTTGGGCACTCGCTCTAGAAAATGATAGCCACGGGGCAATTTATGATATATATGATCATATGGATCTGCTTGTATGCATTTTGTGACATGCTTTGGCTCTTGACATGATTCAAAGTCAAGACCTGTGTTTTTCAAAAGTAATTTAGTAAGTATTACAAAAATTGAGAATCATTGATGAAAATATCAGTCAATACTTACATGGTCTATTATACATTAGACTCTCATCATCCACATCATCGTACTCAATGGAGTCTTCAGTATTTGCCAGATATTCTGTTAAAAAATTATCTCTAGTTGTCAATAGATGAAATGCTTGCTATGTGCAACATATAATTAAATCATTGTTATTTATGACTAACATTACCATGAATGGCAGGAAAAGAATCCTGGGGCACATAAATGAGGTCTTCATGCAAGTTGTTGGTCTCTCTGCCACGATCCCGTGCAGTACTACAACTTTCTTTTTCTGGCCTCTGTCTTTTATTATGGCCACAAATCTCTTGTACGTGTGTTTCTTCTTGATCATGTGACAGTTCTGAGTGCATGTTGACGCAATGATGTCGCTTACGCTGACGTACATTTTTCAATTCATATTTTGCAGCTTGATCTTCCAAGGATATTGATGATAAATATATGCCAGATGGACTGATGGTGAATCGAGTTCCAGCTTTTGGACGACTTGTGCCAGAACCACCAACATCCGCCACTGTTTTAAGGAAAAAGGGTCAACGACAGTGTGATGAAATATACAAAAAAATAAATTTTGATATTTGATATTTGTTAATTCATTACGTATCACAACCTTGTTTTCCTTTTGATGAAGACCCCAGTTGAGTAAATACCGAATCATGCTTCTCATAGTTTGAACTGGCCACGACTTCCTTTCCTGTAATGTAGGTTCAACCTTATCCCGTCAAAAATTATACATCATATATTAAAGAGGTAAATGAACATTCAACGGTCATTGATAATATGAGAAATGAATATTTTGTCGATTAGAACAGTACCTGTCATGCATATGTTCTTATTAGCTCTTGTATTTTTCTGCTGGGGTGCTGGTTGTGTATTGCTACAACTTGCGCTGCACTCACGCCTCATTCTTTTGTACTCACGATTCCTTTGCAAATAGGCTTCCCTCTGATATGGAGTCATTTGCAAGTATCTATCCCGGTCACGGTAACGCTTACGCTGGGAAGAATTCATTTGCGTAGCATTTCTGGTTTCAACTAAAGGATCATTCTGCTCTCCAACGACAGCTAATATTTCCCCACAAAACAAAACAAACAAAAAACAAATAGTATGTCAAGGCAAAGGATTGATAAGGATAATAATTAGATATCAAGATAATAAAAAAACTTACAGTAGTTCCTTTTTGGTGAAGTTGTTGGGTGAACATTTGTAATATCTCTGAATGGAACCCGGCCTTCCATCTTGTCGATTTTACTTGATTTTGTAAGCCAAGTGTTTTCAACCACAACCTACAGTATAAGCATTAGACCATTTTTTAGGTTACCAAACCCAAGAAAAATAATTAAAGCATATACAAATATACAAATAGCCATGAGACATGAACAGAATGAACATATGTTGCATTGCCTTTCAAGTGTACTGTTTGGACAAAAACACAAACACCTTGCGTGCAAGAAAAGTAGAAAAATCAGCAAGCTACAATCGGACCAGTGGATATGTATTTCATATCATTGTAAGCAAGAAGAATCACTTGCAGAACATTCTCAAGCAGCAAAATTCCCAAAGGAGCAGAAGAATCAGCAACCTCACCTGTGATCAGCGGCACCTGTGGTCAGCTGGCCGTAGATGGATGTCCAACTACTCTGAGCCTGGAATCACCAGACGCAAACAAATTTCGGAGCAAGCCACAGACTGCAAGGAGACAGGGCTGGAGATGCAATCTGGACGTGGAGGTGATTCGGAGGTGCTGCCATGCTGGGTGTGTGGACGGGGGGATGGACCAATGGAGCTGGTGGTGTGTGACCCGCGGGCTAGAGAAATTGGAATACTGGATACGGAGCATCCAGATTACAGGGGAAAGATCAGCGTGAGGAGGTTGGCGGGGAATTGATTTGCCAGAGCCTGGAGGCTACCGTGGGTCGTGGAGTTCTCTAGAAGCGCGGCTCATTTTCAGGTTTGGCGGGATTGCGTGGGTGACGAATCCGGGTGATACAGGCCGTTCGATTTAATAAGTTGACGGCCACAGATGATTCCATCTTGGATGTGGCGGGTAAAACAAGAGAGAAGAGGGCAGATTCAAATATTCAAAAAATCGTGTACTATAGTAGTATAATATTATAGTAGATAGCTCCAAGAAGAAATAGATTACATGTACTTTGAGCTGCCACTAAGTTGTGAGTTGCTGTCTAGCGGCCACAACTTCCCTTTGAGCCGCCATAGCCACTGTTTCCACATGTGTAGGTTGCTGCTGCCAACAACTCTTATTTATCTGCACCCTCCTTTTTACAAAAGAATATAAGGTTTAGTGGTTTAAACATTTACTTCCTCAAATAGTCCAATACTAATTGCTTCAAACGACAAGTGCTATCTTTCAATCCCCCCTTCCTAGTCAAGAGGTAGATCATCACACTGGAACTGCTTTAGGGCTCACAGCCTAATGCTAGAGACAAGCAAAATTTGTTCTTGGTAAATTATCAGCAAACAACTATGACATGCCGCCTGAGCACTTCTACTGAGGGGCTCCAAACCCCAGGCCCCCAACTTCATTTTTGAATTTGAGTTCAGTAGCATGTCGTCATCCTCATGAGCACTCCCGTCCAGGTACATAAAGAAGAAAAACAGTGACACTTACATTAGGAAATACCTACAGGATCCATGTGTAGAGGTAGTGAGGCAATTGAAATTGGCCCAAAAGACATAACTTCAGTGCTGGAAGAGTCGCACTGTCGACCACTGAGTCTTGGCTGCTTGATCCATCCCATTGTGGTCGTCGGTGCTGATAGAAAGTTAGATAAAAATTGTGAACAAAAAAGTAAAATCCCCTCTTCTGGACAAAGTAAAATAAGAACCTCTGCTACTCTAATGTACATCCATGCAACCAAAACTCTGAGAAATACTCATAGCAACACTGATCAACAGTTCTCGAAAGACATTCCAGATTTTTGAACAACTACAGGCCATTAAGTATTAACAATATCCAGAAGTTGTAAGCCCATGGTACACCTACTATCTGACGACTAACTATATCCGAGCATTTATTCATAGATCATGCATACTCATATTATTTTTATGTACAGAATCATGCTATATCTTTGTTAAATCAATTCCAATGCATGCACATGCACAAGTCTGAACTAAACAACATATATGATGCATGAATTAAATGTAAACCAGCCAAGCCCCATGTGAAATAAAATACTGAATTTGTAAATTGATGAGTGAGAGAATTAACTGACCAATAGTTCTGTACTTCAGCAAGATATAGATGACAACATTCTAAGAAAAGAAATCACACTGTCCTACAGAGAACAATCAAACCATTCCCGGTTCAGTTTAGTATAGAAGTACTACACTACTAAAGGAGAGCTAGTTCTCACATAGGAACAAAATAAGATCAATCACGCAGGGTCCAACATTCATATAGATAAAGAAATATCTATGCAACATCACGACACTTGCAAGGTAACTGTAAAGCATGCACATGGCACATCATATAACTATCCGAAACTTAAACGACTTCTATTTCTGATTTAAAACTGAATCTAGTTGTAAATATGTTACAACATTCAATGAAGATTGCCGATTCTATACCTCAGATGTACCAGAAGCTGTGTCCATTTTACTCTGCTCATGTTTCTATAAAAAAATCATATGGCTCTGAAAAGAAAAATAGCAACGTTAAATGAATATTTTGGAAGTTTATCATACGAATCATGTCAATAAGGACATTTAAAAGATTCTAAGCTTGCAATAATCTTTCAGCCCAAAATCACCGTCTGGATGCAAATAAGCATGAACATAGAAAGCGGCAGCCAGTTAGGCACATGAAACAGCGAGCTTCACAAGAAGTTTACGGCATGCTGGTAAGCACAAACGCCGAGGAAGTGGTAGTCAGTTAGGCACCTGAATAAAATCAAGCTTCACAAGAAGTTTCTACTGTGCAAAATGTCTCTGAGCATCACACAATCATGTTTAAAAGCATCTTATGATCCTGCAATCAACAATGTGAGCTTATTCAGCAGATTGCATAAAAACCTTTCTCGGTGATTAATAGGCTGGACAGAGCAATTGCCAAAGGTAGCACTTATGCATAAAAGGAAATAAATGGAGGAAAATGGCATGAATTTCTTTAGCCTGAGCGAACACTACAAACAAATTCCAATAACACAGAGCAGTAAATGGTCCACATGGGAGCTTCATTAGGCAAGCAACCTAGCTAACAAATATTTGTTGCGTCCCTACTATGTGGTCGTACATGAAGAATCAAGAACACACGTGCAAAAGGCTAGTTCTAACTAAATTTAACTTTCTAACTGAATTTAACTTTCAGTTGGCATTTATCTCTCATGGTAGTTTCCATTTTTTTATAGAGAAACAAGATAGAGGAGAGCCAAGTAGAGAGGAGGCCGTGGTGACCAAGGAAACCTAAAATTCTGGACTGAACAAAAAGACATAAGTTAGGGAGAAATTTAGGTCGGTAGACTGCTGAGCTCCTGCATATGCATGATTTTACAAATGTGATACCTCGGTGCTCCCTTCAGTTTTGAACGACTCAAAGCATCTAATTGTTCTGTTCTAAAATATTTTAATGTCTGCACTTTGGTACAGCAGCAACTGTCATGAACTGAATTATGGCTGAAGAATAAGAAAGTAGAACCTACAAAGGTCTACCATGCATACACAACAAATCTGAACAAAAATAACGAACACTAATGATTCCAAGCAGCGCATAGCAAAACCATACTTTTGAAATATAACACGGGTCATTTTTTTATGTATTGTATATTAGTGCATTACTTATACATCAGATATCAAATTAAGCAGAAGTGGGTAGAAATCAGCAGAAGTGGACAAGAAAAGTCAGCAGCCCATCACCTTGCAATATATATAGAACATACTTTCACCGACCATCATACCGCTAAACAACAAGACGCATAGGCCATCCACTTGAATTATTATTCTGCAACAAAAGAAAATAAAACACACATAGAGTACCAATTAGAAGGGCTCCTGCACACCCGTCAATGGTCTATATGGCAACAAAAACAAACCATTTGGTCATTCATCAGGCTGATGGTGTGCATTACGTTGGGCTTGCTTACATGGTACATAGGCATTTAGGCTACAGAAATCTTTAGAGATCAGGAGTGCATGCAACAGAGGGGAAGCTCACCTTGGGTCATGCAACGGAGGGGAAGCTCACCTTGGGTCTCCCCAAAATTTTCCCATGGTTGGCAGAGGAGGTGAGGCTGGAGGCAGAGGTAGCGCCGCCGCTCACGGCATAGCAGAGGCGAGCCGGACCGCCTCCCTAGCTGGCTGGTAGCGCTGCCTCCATGGGGACCGGCTTGCTCCTTCACCCTGTCGCCGACCTCCTCCCTCTTCCCTGTAGCTTCACCACATCGCGACGGGCCGACTGTTGCCTGCCCTCGTCCCCCGCCTGCCCATTCACCCCACCATCGACCTCGTCTAACCCGCGCCCGATCTGGAACCAGGCATCGATGACGGGCGCAGATAACAAAAAGAAGGAAGGTGAGGTGGAGGGGCTAGCATGGTGGAGGAGTATTATCAGGCGGCGGCGAGGCTCCGGGGCGGAGGCCGTGGTGACGCGAGGAGGAGGGATAGAGGCGGGAGAGGTTGTGGGGATCGAGGGGAAAGGGGGCTAGGGTTTGGGCGGTGGCTGGTGCGGGAGTGGGACGAGGCGAGGATGGATTGGCTGGGGAACGCAGGGTGCGGATTGGGGAAAACCTCATGCACGCGGGCGCGGCCAACCCAGCCAATACAGTCACGAGACGAGCCCATTAGTTATTGGGCAGAAAAATGAACCGTGAGGTGAAAATAATTTAACCGCAAGTGAAGATCCAACGGCTTAGGCGCGCGAGAAAGTCAGATCGGATGGTTGACGAACCCCCAATCGGGGGAGCCTTCTGGAGATGAGTTGGCTAGCTTCTGTTTTGTTTTAAATGAGTGTTACAAGAGTTGATCTACCACGAGATCGTAATGGCTAAACCCTAAAATTCCAGCATGTCTGACTATGATTATGAGGATATATCTACGGACCTAGCCCTCTGGTTTATATAGACACAGGAGGGATCTAGGGTTACATAAGGTCGGTTACAGATAAAGGAATCTTCATATTTGATCGTCAAGCTTGCCTTCCACGCCAAGGAGAGTCCCACCCGGACATGGGCAGAGTCTTCGTTCTTTGTATATTCACGGCACATCAGTCCGGCCGCTATCCAATAGGTCGGACGCTCGAGGACCCCTTAGTCCAGGACTCCCTCAGACGCCGCCTCCGGAGTCGTCAGACGACAACCAGACGGATGATGAGCCGTCGGAGGACGAAGAATAGGATGACGACGATGAGGAGGAGGAATGGTCAAATGAGGAGGAGGACGACATTGACAGCAACGACGATGACGGCGGCGGCGGCGATGAAAAGCCAACGGTCAGCGGCAAGAAGCGTCCTTGCCAAGACGACGTCGCGGGGCCATCCAACAAGAACAACAAGAAGAAGAAGGACTAAATTAAGCAGACTGTATATATATATCTATTTATCCTGTCAATTTCATCACACACGGTTAGTAATATGTATTCGACAGAGATCTTCTACATTATCGCCAATAGGTTGGTTTGTTGAACTATGTGCCCTGACAAGCACACATTTCACAAAAAAAGAATGTATGGGCTATCTATAATGATCGCACACAATTCTGATTACCGACCTGTTTGCCGGGTATCACACACATCTTATTACACCGAATCGTTTGTGTTCACCTCACTCATCGCAAATGGTTCATCGGACCGAACTGTATGTCGTATATCGCACACACCTTGATTTGGTTGCACGTTTCTGTTGTTCTGTCTCATCGCAAACAGTTCGTACAGATCAACCGTATGCCCCTCATCGCACGTGCAACTATAATCTGAACCGTGTTTGATGTATCATTCACCGCAAACGTTTTGCATCATTTCTGACGGTTTTCATATAGCACCGTTTGCGATTATTGCATCACACACAGTTTCTCGAAGGGTCTCTGATCGTAGTGTCGCGTTAGCAGCATCCTGCAGTAGTGGGAATAAGGTGCGCTAGGTCATTGTCGTGCACTCAGTTTTGCCATGGAGTTGGATGGACACATTTACCCTCGAAGCTTCCGCAGTTATCTTATTTAGATGCCTTCAGCCATATTATTGTAATAAGTACTCTTTATGAGACACTCGATGTAATAAGTGTGTGATTGAACTATGTTATAAATCCTCGAGTACTATGAGTGTCACCAATATCGATCCAGGGATGACACTTATGCACAGAGACTTGACCATTTGAGGTCGGGTCGCTACACTATAAAAAACCCTAAACACCTTCGACCAAAGCCCCTACACCAGAACACCTCTCCCAACCGCCAAGCTGCCCGAAATCGGCCCCATGCCGTTTCCTCTGTAACCAGCTCTGGTGGACTAAGGTAAACCCTCAGCCCTCCTTCTGCCCAACGCACCTACATGCTCCAACACACACGTTTGACCATCTGCGCATGTACAGGCCAACCCCGGAGCATGACTTCGACCACAACAAAGCCCTACCATCGTAGTGACCACCATTCCGATAAGGTGGGCACGAACCCTAGCCCCGAACCTTGTCCATTAGCTTTGTCGTGCTAACTCACTGTCACGGCCCTAGGACCACTGAGCATCGACGCTGTCCTACTCCAGAAGCAAACCGGCGCTTTTACAACTCCTTCGAGCAATTCCAACTGTTCCCATCGAG